AGGGGGAGGGGGAGGGGGAGGGGAAGGGGAAGGGGAAGAAGAAGAAGAAGAAGAAGAAGAAGAAGAAGAAGAAGAAGAAGAAGAAGAAGAAGAAGAAGAAGAAGAAGAAGAAGAAGAAGAAGAAGAAGAAGAAGAAACTTTTTTTAGGCAGGGTTTTAAGACAAGTTTTTAGTTGAAAAGTTTGGATTGGTTGGTTTATACTGCTTGGTGAAGCAATCCAGGGTAATTAGGAGCATGGGATATGGAGTTGGGGTTTACGTTTATTTATTTTTTTTATGAGTGTGTGTGTGTGTGTGTGTGTGTGTGTGTGTGTGTGGTGTATTTGTCTGTGATACATGTGCACATGCGTGTGTATGTTCATACATATAGATGTCAGAAGAAGATACACAGGGAGCCCTGCTCTGTATTACTCTTCTTCAGACAGTCTCTCACTGAACCTGGAGCATTGCAAGCAGCCAGCAAGTCTCAGTGGTCCTCCTGTCTCTGCCCCTTAAAGTGCTGGGCATACAGGTACATGCATGTTCAGACTCTGTTTTACACAGGTGCTGGGATGTAAATTCAAGTCTCCATGCTTGTACATCAAGTCCTCTTAGCCACTGAGTCATCTTTACAGTCCCTGTGGACTTGGATTTTAGTTTAAAAACTGGTTCTGCTACCTCCTAGTGAGTGCCCAGGGACAAATTCTCTAACCCCTCTGAACATCACTTTCTGCCTCTGCGAGATGGTAATAATAGAACAGACATCATAAGCTTCTGAAGATGAAACTATGCCTGCTGGCACTGTTGGCAGACTTCTGGTTAATTGAATTCTTCTCACATACACATGAATGTACTTCAGCATTATTTCCTGACTATAGTTTTCTCTTTCTAGAGGGATTTGAAGAAAGGAACATGTGGATTTTTTTTTTGGCCCAAAGTAGCTATGCAGGTTTGGATTCCATTCCTTGCTCTGCTCTTTACAGTATCGTTATCTGGGAAGGATGCCAAGTATAATACGTGCCCAGGAAGGTTGAAAATGTAACAATAGATGGGAAAGAGTTAGCATTGTGCTTGATATTCAGAAAGCACTCGATAAATGGAGCCCACGATGAAGATGAAATAACCATAATTATAAGGGACCACCATGATCCCAGCCACAGCACCCTGGCAGTGGAGTAGGGGTCCACACATATGGTAAGAGGCAGCGGTTGCTGTTTCTCAAAGGCTAGCAACGTAATGTGGTTTCCCAGACAGTAGCTAGGTATTTAAAACAGACCTGGTTTTAGAGGTGTAACAAACAAACAAACCAAAACCAACCAACCAACCAAACCAAACAGAAAGATAATGATTGAGTAGAGCATCATCCTTATTTATTTTGCCAGTCCCTTTATACCTGAGAACCTTAAAGAGAAACGTGTGATTCTAAAGTAACCCTGTTCGTCTAAGGCTCAACTTCAGTTGTGCATGACGTTTTATCCGTAAGCTTTGTCAGGAGCATCTCAGTACAAATGGGAAGTCTTTGCTCTTCTTTGCTGAGGTGGACAGCACCTAACTTCCTGAGGCTCTTGGTAAGTATGGATGCACTTACTGGCTACCACACTGGTGTGCAGAAACAATGGTTCTCAGGGATGTGATGTTAGAATAGGTGAACTTGTACGTGGGCTGTAGAGGCGTTATCCAATGAAAAACAAAGACTGGGTGTTCCTGCTGCTTCTGGAGATGTACCCAGTTACTATAAGGTGGTAGAGGGAATGATTATTTTGCTGTCCCTCTGTTTACTCTTTAGTAGTCTGTTAAGTCTAATCAGAGAAAGAAAACAGCCCGTTTTACAAGTGAAGCCAATGCCAGGTTTCTATTCTTTCCCAGACTACTTGGGGTAGGAGGGTGCGGGCCAGTTTCCAAGGGCCCTCCAGGACACTCACCCTCCATTCCAACCATGTACATTCTTTGACTATTTAAGGAGTACTAACCGCAGGAACGGAAGGCTTCTCCACGAGGATCTTCCAATAACATTTCTTCAGTGTCCCAGGTTTCTATTCTCTTTTTGGGCCTCCGAGCTAAGGTTATAGAGATGAAAGTGAGTTTTGATTTTGGATAAAGATTTAGGGGCAGTAGCTGACATCTAGGAAATCATGCTTTATTTTCTACTAGATCCCTTCTACTCAACTTTCATCCTCATCCTTTACCCTAAGAGCTGTGCCTGTTTTCTCATTAATGGCTTTGGCCACATGAACGGCCCTCAATGTATGCATAGGAATTCAGCCAAAGGGGATATGATTATTGACAGTTGACAGTCAGTATGATATTCCAAGTAATGGCAGACTTTCCATGTCAGTAAATGGAAATCATCATTAGCATTTAACTTTTTGCATGTGTGTGTGTGTGTGTATAGTGTATGTGTGTATGGCTGTATTTGTGTTTATGTGTATGAGGCGGCTAGGGCTAGACTCTAAGTTTTTGTTTGTTTGGTTGGTTGATTGGTTGGTTCTTGTTTGTTTGTCTTTTGAGACAGGGTCTCTCACTGATTGGCTAGGCTGGGTAGCCTAAGGAACATAAATGTTCCTTTCTCTATTGCCCCTGCCCCAGTGCTAGGGTTACAGTTGTATACCAACAAATCCAGCTTTTATGTGGATGCACAGTATCCAAACTTGGGTTTTCATGCTGCCTTAGAATACATGTTAAGCACCAAGTCATTTCCCCAGTTTCCTTCATTAGCAATGTTATTGTATCCATAGTGTAGATGCATCATAATTTATTTGGCTATCCCTGTCATTGGACATTTACATTGTTTACAACATTTAACTCTTTCTACTGTATATTATAATTTGAATATTCTTTATTACAATTTTTGTGTATTTCTGTCATTATCTTTGTAGACAGCTAAGAAATGAAATTAGTAGTTTAGAAGGCTTCCATTTTAGATTTTTTAAATGTGTGTGTATCTTTCCTGTGTGTGTGTGTGTGTGTGTGTGTGTGTGTGTGTGTGTGTACCACATTCACACTTGTAAAGTAAGAAGAGGGCATAGGATCCCATGGGGTTGGAGTTACAGGTGATTGTGAGCCATCATGTGGCTGCCAAAACCCGACCATGGGTTTTCTACATGAACAAGTGCTCTTAATCACCGAGCCATCTCTATAGATCCATTTTAGAAGTTCTTAATAATATTGAGAAAAGGAGGGGAAGAGAGAGACAGGCAACATACACTTCCTAAAGGTTATATCAATTTGTACTTCCACCATTGGCAAGCATAACCTTTAAGTTATCACTATAGCCATAGAAAGATCTGTGTCAACTAATGCTAGAGCATCCTTGCTGGCCTGTCAGAAGATGGTCTCCAACTTTGTCCCATACTTCTCCCAACAACAGTGTGAGAAATGAATTTACTTCTCAAATAGGAATGCTATTGTAGAAAATATAAAGGAAGGTCTGTATAACTTTTTTTCTGTAATGATGATTCAATATTACCTTTGAAAAGGTTGGCATCAACAGATGGAGCTGGAGTCTTTGTGTCATAACATTGACTGCTGCAAGGCTTACTGATATTTGGAGCTCCAATCTTCCGAGAACATTCACCTTCCTCCATGATTACGTCTAGAGCAAATGTTACTGACATATTCTTTTTGGGCCTTATTCGAAAACCATCTTTCTGTATTCCAGGAAGAAAGAGGGAAATTGTCAATTAATTCTCAAGAATTCAATTACTGATCACGGGCAATGGTGTTTAAAAAAAAAAAAAACATTTACCTGTAGAATTGGCTTTAGGGGCCTAGCATCCAGTGAACGTTGTATTAAGTGCTGTCTTGACTCAAAATGCTGTCTTTTCTCAAAATGTCTTTGCTCCACATGCTGTCTATGCTCCATGTGTTGTCTTTTCTCAAAATGCTGTCTGCTGTTGTGTCTGACCATACTCATTCTGTTAGGAAAGCTAAGAACATTTTGAAAAAAAAAATCAGTAGTAGAAACAGACATATTTCAAGATTTTTTTCTTCTTGTTTTGGTACCAGGGAATGAAGTCAGGGCTTTTCATGCATGAGGCAAGTGCTCTGCCACTGAACTGTATCTCTAGCCTTCAAGCTTCTTTATCCAGTGCAGCCACTGCCCTCTCCATTTCCATATGGCTTTGGTCAGTAAAAGTAACAAAATAGCAAGAAGACATTTAGGTCTTTGATTCCTCAGAACCCTCATCATCTTCTTATTTATTTATTTATTTATTTTACATTTCTGTCCATTCCTATCATGCCATGACTAGGTAGATCGGAGAACTGGAAGCTGGGAATTTGCAGCAGCTGTGTAATATTCATCTTTAGAATGGTGTCAATAGGCTACGTGGTTGTTTGAATAGGTGTGACCCCTCTAGACACATGTGTTTGAATTCTTGGCCCAGGGAGTGGCACTATTAGGAGGTATGGTCTTGTTGGAGGAAGTGTGGCATGGTAGGGATGGGCTTTGAGGGGTCCTCCAAGGCTCAAAATCGAACCAGTGCAGAAGAGACCATTTTGCTGGCAACCTGCAGAAGCCAGTCTCTTCCTGACTACCTTTGGATCTAGGAGTAGAATTCTAGGATCCTCGAGCAGCATGTCTACCTGCATGCTACCATGCTTCCTGCCATGATAATAATGGACTAAATCCCTGAAACTGTAAGCCAGCCTTGACAGGATGTGCCTAACCCTGCAGAGAGTTGATTCACTTGGGTGGGAGTGTATGAGAGGCATCCTCTCAGAGGAGAAGGGAAGAGGGATAGGGATGGACTTTGTGAAGGGGGGACAGGGATGGGCAGTGATTGGGCTGTAAAAATGAATTAAATAATTAATTTTAAAATGTTTGACTTTATAAAAGTTACCTGTTCATGGCGTCCCTTCAAAGTAATAAAACCCTAACTAAGACAGAGTGCTTAAGGGGCTCCCGTTCCCTCTTTCTTCCACATGGCAACTCAGAGAATAGAAATCCGATTTTCAAGAAGCCCTAATGTTGATTGGTTGGTTGGCTTTACCTTTTTCTTTTAAACCTATATGCCATTCATTCCATGAAAGTGACTACTGATGTTGTGCCAGGACTAGTAGTGTCCTTGCAATGTTGGTGGGGACTGCCATAACCCCACTTGGGCCATCATCAGATTCTGAAGGATTTGCTGCCCAGAGTACAAACCTCTCAGAACTTGTGGGTCATGTTGAAGACTGACTCCCACTTCTGTTCTTATCAGTAAAGCTAATGAAATGAGCTCAGTACCTTTCTGATGAGCATCTTTCTCCGCAGCCTCTGATGTTCTTGGAGGTTGAGATGCTCATACTGGGTGTTTGTTGTCGAGTATACAGCTCGTCATATTGATCCCTAATGGCAGCTAATAGCCATCGCAGCCCTATAACTATTGGTTGTTGATGCCTCTTTGGAAGGTGTTTTATGGTTGAACATGGCTCCTATAAGAAATAGAAAAGAAGGGCTGGAAAGATGGCTCGGCGGTTAAGAGCACCGACTGCTCTTCCCAGAGGTCCTGAGTTCAATTCCCAGCAACCACATGGTGGCTCACAACCATCTGTAATGGGATCTGATGCCCTCTTCTGGTGTGTCTGAAGAGAACAATGGTGTATTCATATACATAAAATAAATAAATAAATCTTTAAATAAAAAAGAAATAGAAAAGAAGGCCTCAGACCTGGATCCCTGGACCACTGATGCCTAAAGGCCTGATCATTAAAATAGCAGAGGTGGTTGTATGGTGCCTAAGTATGTTCTTGACTTCAAGGAGACACTCAGCATTTCCCATCTGAGAAAGCAGATGAAGAGCATAAAAGCTAAGGCCCTTTAATAAAACGGCTATAGTGCCTTCACTGTGTGACCTCAAGCAAGTTTACTTAGATTATCTGGCCACTTAGCTTTCTTATGTATAAGATGGGGCTATTAAAATCTTACAGAACTGCTTTGTAGGCAGAGAATAATATTTGTTGTCATTCTCAAGTTAGAAATAATCACTGCAGATATTGCCTGTCAGGGAGAGGAACTTTGAACCCCCAAGCTGACAGACAGGGCCCTAGTTATATAATCCAGGACCTAGAGGAAAAGAAATGAGATGCTGACACTTACCACTCGGCACATGGATTTAGTCTCATTCACAAGCCTTTCCAGAAGTAGATACTCAATGATATCACCAGGCAACAGGGCATCCTTCTTGTCTTGTTTGTTTGCCAGGCTAGAACAGGGCATAAGGATAAGAAGAGTGAAGCCAAGGTAAAGTCAAAGGGAAGAGAAAGGCCCAGCATCGTGGTACATGATGTTAGTGCCAGCACTTGGGAGGCAGGTGGAATCTCTGTGAATTACAGACCACCCTGGTCTATGTTGTGAGATCATGTCTCAAACAAACAAACAAAAAGAATATAAATAAACAAAAAACAAACAAACCAAAAACAAACAAAAACTGGAGTAGGGTAGCACTAGCTGCAATGTTAACTGCTATAAGTCCAGGAACTGAGCTTACCCAGTGAGACAGGCTAGGCAGTTTCTTAGCCAACTTTCAATGGAAGAAAAAAATGGTGCAAATCATTTGAATACAAGATAATCCCCAGGGGCCATTTCCCACTTCCTCTATATCACAAGTCATACTTTAATTACAACCACTAATTAGGATATGAACAGATGTAGAGTTTTTATATCTCTGAAACTGTTCATATTCTAGTTTGGGTTGCTAATGAGAAATAAGCATGGCAAAACGGGGAGTTGGAAGGGGGAGGAGTGACAGGCTACTGGAATTATCCCCACCTCCAAAATGAGTACCAGTTACATAGTCTTGAACAACCAACTGGGGGAGGAATGCATTGGAACTGATTGTACAAAAGAGGGTTTGCTCTCTGCCATCAAGTTTCAGGATCAGAGACTCAAACCCCAGCAAGTTGAGTTAGAGGCTCCAGGAAGAGTCCAGGGTTGGGGATGGGAGATCTAGATATTATTTCTCTTTGCTGAAGATCCAGAGTTTGTTTATACAATTAGGTATCATGTTCCATATGCCATATGTGTGGTAGAAAGTGGCTCTTAAAAACAGTCATCAGTGAACTGAGTCTTTTCAGCTCATTGAGCCTAAAGAGAACCTTCATCAAAGGACAAAAGATGCCCTTCATCTCATTTCATGATCACCTTTTCCATGGCACAAATTGGTTAACGGAAAGCAGGCCCCGAAGGCAGAAACTTACATTAAGATGGGCTTCCCTGACACCCTTTTGTCAAACATTATTCGAGTTAAGATGATCTTCACTTCCTGTATGCGTGCTACATCACTAGAATCCACGACGAAAACAAGCCCATGCGCCTCAGCATAGTAGCTCGGCCATTTTTCACGGCCCTTTAGGTCTCCAGTTAGGTCATAGACTGATACTTGGTAATCATCTAGTAGAAGTGTTGTTTGGGTTGGTCTCATTTCACTGTGCATCTTGCTAGGAATTACTACAAATGGAAGGAGAGGAGAAATGACCCCAGTGTGGCAAAATGTAGTTAGATGAATTTGTTCATCCTTTTGCAGAACCTGTTCTCAGAAATCCTACTAAAGCACCCTGCAAGCCTGCTCATATTCATGGGTTCATCTTTCAGATTCTTAGGTGTGTGTGTATGTGTTTGTGTGTGTGTGTGTGTGTGTGTGTGTGTGTGCTAGACAGGGTATCACTCACTGTGTAGTCCTGGCTGTCCTGGAATTCACTCTGTAGACCAGGCTGTCCTGGAGCTCAGCGAGATCCTCCTGCCTCTGTCTCCTGAGTGCTGGGATTAAAGGCGTATGCCACCATGCCTAACAAAATGCTTCTTTCTAAATCACTACTTCCCTGCTTTATGCCTTCAGTGAGTAAACTGAATGGTAGTCACAGTAAACCTGGTTTCTATTCAAGATACCCTAGCCCACATACATGCTATAGATTTCCTGAGCTTTTCACAAACTGCCATTCTTTCTACCATTCTGTGCTTAGTCCATACCTTTTTTTTTTAACAAAATATCAATTTAGATTTTGTTTATTGTAGAAAAATTTCCCTCACACCATCCTTAGTCTGTATAAAGTGTCATCCACCCCTGTGTTTACCATTACTATGCCACATATTAAAGTCATAAATTGTATTGGTTTACTTAACTGAGTTATAAGCTATAACAGGAAGGTGAAATCTTAATTCTATGCCTTATATTGATGAAGCTGAACACAGATACTTGATAAATGTCTGATGAATAAATGCTAGTTCTTTCTCTTTTACTGTTTCTTCAAGGCCCAACCAGCACATTCTTCAGGAGGCCTTCTCTGACCTGCCCACCTCTCACTGCACTCTCTCAGAACACTGTTGAAGTAGTCATTGACCTATTTTTTGTGCTTACCCATTACCTTACAGTAGGGGGTTCAGTAAGTGCTTACAATGTCTGTTACTATGAATAAGGACATGAAGTGTCTCTTCTAAGAAACCATGCCAGATGCAGACATATTTCCCATGTAAAAGCTTCACCCAGGACATAATATTCTGTAACGAACTCGGTACCTAATTCAGCCCGTAATAGAAATGCATCTTATAATAACAGTCTTTATATGTTTTCCAGTTTGTTGAACTGATAGTTATGGTCTAAGTTTCTGCTCACATTAGTAGTTAATAATTTCATAGATTTTTGACACTAGAAGTACTCAGAATAGAATCAGAAATTTCAGAGCTATCTGTGTGCTATCCCCTGAGCTCCATTGTCTGGCCTCACTCTGTTGGCCAAACTCCACTCTCCACTCCTCCAGGCCCACCACACAAGGAATATTCAGGCCTGCTATACCAAGAACATCCAGTCTAAGGCTGCCCGCTGGAGGCCTGCAGCTGGGGGAACATCCAGATTATGCCCTCCTTCCCAATATCTGTTATACTAGGAACATCCAGGAACAACCAGATGGCTAAAGGCCAGCCTAAGAATGCAAATAACAAGAGCCGAGGCAAAAATGGTACCTTCAGAGCAAAGCTATTCCACTACAGCAAGCCTTAAATCCAACCTTATAACCTTAATAACCTTAAATCCAACCTTATAAAAATGACAGATGTCTTTAAAGAAGAAATGAATAAATCCCTCAAAGAAATACAGGAAAATACAATCAAATAGGTAGAGGCCTTTAATTCCTTAAAGAAATACAGGAAAAATTAAACAGGTGAAGGAAATAAATAAAAATGTTCAAAACCTGAAAATGGAAATAGACGCAATAAAGAAAATGCAAACTGAGGGAATCCTGGAACTAGAACAGACACAAGCATCACCAACCGAATACAAGAGGTGGAAGAGAGAATCTCAGGCATACAAGATACAGTAGAATAAATTGATACAACAAAGAAAATGTTAAATCTAAAAAAATTCCTGACACAAAACATCCAGTAAATCTGTTATATCATGAAAAGACCTAACCTAAGAATAATAAGAATATAAGAAGGTGAAGAGTCCCAGCTAGAAGGTCCAAAAAATATTTTCAACAAAATCATAGAAGAAAACTTGCCCAACCTAAAGAAAGAGATGCCTATAAACATACAAGAAGCTTCCAAAGCACCAATTAGATTGGACCAGAAAAGAAAATCCTCCCACCAAATATTAATCAAAACATTAAATGTGCAGAACAAAGAAAGAATATTAAAAGTGGAAAGGGAAAAAGGCCAGGTAACTCACAAAGACCTATCAAAATTACACCAACTTCTCAACAGAGACTCTAAAGCTAGAATGGCCTGAACAGATATTCTGCAACTTCTAAAAAAAAAAAAAAAAAACTCACAGGTGCCAACTTAAACTTCTATACCAAGCAAAACTCTCAATCAGCATAGATGGAGAAAACAGGATATTCCAAGAAAAAAAAAACAAATTTAAACAGTATCTATTCACAAATCCAGCCAAGCAAAAGTCTCAATCAGCATAGATGGAGAAAGCAAGATATTCCAAGGGGAAAAAAAACCACAAATTTAAACAGTATCTATTCACAAATCCATCCCTACAGAAAATACTTGAAGGAAAACTCCAACTCAAGGAGGTTAACCACACACAAGAAAACACAGGAAATAAATAATTCCACACCAGCAAAAACAAAATGAGGGAAGCACACACACACACACACACACACAAACACACACTACCACCACCATAAAAATAACAGGAATTAACAATCATTGATCATTAATATTTCTCAACCTCAATGGACTCAATTTCCAAATTATAAAACACAGGCTAACAAATTGGATGTGAAAACAGGATCAATCATTCTGCTGCATACAGGAAACATACCTCAGTAATAAAGATGGACTTCAGAGTAAAGGGCTGGAAAAAAAGTTTTCCAAGCAAATGGACCCAAGAAACAAACTGGAGTAGCCATTCTAAAATTTAATACAATTGATTTTCAACCAAGATTAATTAAAAGAGATGGGGAAGAACACTTCATACTCATCAAAGGAAAAAAATCTACAAAGATAACATCTCAGTTCTGAACATATGTGTCTCAAATGCAAGGGCACACACATTCATAAAAGAAATATTACTGAAGCTTAAATCACACATTAAATCCCACACATTAATAGGGACTTCAACACCCCACTCTGACCAATGAACAGGTCATTGAGACAGAAACTAAACAAAAAAATAATGAAGCTGACAGAGATTATGAATCAAATGGATCTAACAGATATATCTACAGAGCCTTTCACCCAAACACAAAAGAATATATGTTCTCAGTACCTCACAGAACTTTCTCCCAGATTGACCATATAGTCAGTCACAGAGCAAGCCTCAACAGATACAAGAAAATTGAAATAACTCCTTGTATCTTATCAGATCATCATGAATTAAAGCTAGACATTAACAACAGAACCAAGAAAAAAGCTGCAAACTCATGGAAACTGAACAACTCTCTACTCAATGACCACTGGGTCTGGGAAGATGTAAAGAAATTAAAGACTTTCTAGAGTTCAATGAACACAAACTTACCCAAACAAACAACATACACAAACATACGGTAGACAATGAAAGCAGTGCTAAGAGGAAAGTTCACAGCACTAAGTATCTTCATAAAGAAATTAGAGAGTTTTCATATTAGCAATTTAAATGTACACCTGAAAGCTCTAGAAAAAAGCAAACATACCCAAGAGGAGTTGATGGCAGGAAATAATCAAATTTCAGGGATGAAATCAATAAATTAGAAACAAAGAGAATAACATAAAGAATCAATTAGGAGAACAACATCCTTTACAATAGCAAAACTTAATATAAAATGTCTTGGTGTAACTCTAACCAAGGAAGTGAAAGACCTGTAGGACAAGAACTTCAAGTCCCTGGAGAAAGAAACTGAGGAAGATATCAGAAGTTGGAAAGATCTCCCTTGCTCATGGATCGGTAGGATTAACATAGTGAAAATGGCCATCTTACCAAAAGCAATATACAGATTCAATGCAATTCCAATCAGAACTCCAACACAATTCTTACAGACCTTGAAAGAGAAATTGTCAGTTTCACACAGAAAAACAAACAAAAAACAGGAGAGGTAAAACAATCCTATACAATAAAAGAACTTCTGGAGGTATCAAACCATCACTAATTTAAGCTGTACTTGGGCAATAGTAATAAAAATGCATAGTATTAACTTAAAACAGGCAGATTGATAAATGGAATAGAATTGAAGACCCAGAAATAAACTTACGCACTCATGGACACTTGATATTTGACAAAGAAGCCAAAACCATACAATGGAAAATGAAAGCATCTTGGACAACTGGTGCTGGTCCAACTCAAAGTCTGCATGTAGAAGATTGCAAATAGACCCATATCAATCACCCTGCACAATACTCAAGTCCAAGTGGATCAAAGACCTCAACATAAAACTAGACATACTAAATCTAATAGAAGAGAAAATGCAGAACTGCCTTGAACCCATTGGCACAGGAGACAAATTTCTGAACAGATAGATTCCCAATAGCTCAGGCACTAACATCAACAATTGATAAATAGGACCTCGTGAAACTGAAAAGCTTTTGCAAGGCTAAGACACTACCAATAAAAAAAAATGGCAGTCTACAGAATAGAAAAAATCTTCACCAATCCTATACCTGACAGGGGACTAGTAAAGAACTCAAGAAATTACATATCAACAAACCAAGTAACCCAATTAAAAAATGGGGTAGAAAGCTAAACAGAGAATTCTCAGCAGAGGAATCTCGAATGTCTGAGAAGCACTTAAAAAATGTTCAAAGTCCTTAGTCATCAGGGAAATGCAAATCAAAATGACTCTGAGATTCCATTTTATAGCAGTCAGAATGGCACATGCTGGCAAGGATGTGGAGCAAGGGAACACTCCTCCATTGCAGGTGGGAGTGCAAACTTGTACAACTACTTTGGAAATCAGTGTGGCAGTTTCTCAGAAGTTTGGAAATAGTTCTACCCCAAGACCCAGGGCATATATCTAAAAGATGCCCCACTA